CTCAGCCCCTCAAGTAGCTGGGATTATAGGCGTGTGCTATCACGTCTGGCTAATTTTTGTATTTTTAGTAGAGATGGGGTTTCATCATGTTGCCCAGGCTGGTCTTGAACTTTTGACCTCGGATGATTGCCCCCCTCAGCCTCCCAAAGTGTTACAGGCATGAGCCATTGCACCCAGCCATTAAACGGGTTTTCTGCACCTTTAGCCTTCTATTTATTTTTCTGGAACACCCAGAATTTCAATATTTGGTTGAAATACCAAATAATGGTATTCTGTTTGTCACATAGGCTTTGTTCATTCTTTTTTTTTTTCTTTTTGTATGTGTTTGTGATACTGAGTTATTTCAAAAGACCTGTGTTTAAGTTGTGAAACTCATTCCTCCACTTGATATAGTCTATTGTTGAAGCTTTAAAATATATTTGTAATTTCATGTATTGAATTCTCTTATTCTAGGATATCTGGGTTTTTAAAAATATCTATCTTGTGAATTTTGCATTTATATCCTGAATTGTTTTTCTGATTTCTTTGTATCGTTCATCTGTGTTCTCTTGCATCTCACTGAGCTTTAATATCATTATTTTGAATTATTTCTCCAGCACCTTATAAATTTCATTTTTATTGGAATAATGCCAGAGAATTATTTTGTTTCTCTGGTTGTGTCACATTTCCTTTCTTTTTTATGTTTCTTGTCTCCTTTACATTGATATTTGCATGCCTGGTATAACAATCACTTTTTAAAATTTTTTGTATTAGCTTTTGTAGGGCAAGACTTTTTCCTGAAAGTGTGCCTATGTTGTTGGTTGGCTAGGGCACTTTAGCTTCGATTCTGGGTGCATGCAGTAGTGTAGTCTCTATGCAGTTTCTTAGACTTTAAGCAGCTTCAGTGGTGTATGTGATTTCCTCAGTTGCTTAGGCTGCAGTTCTTGGAGGCTGTGGTGAGGTTTTGTTGGATACAGGAATGCCAAGTGGGCCAGTCCTCAGGGCCCAGTGGTGGGAACAGTGAGCTGAGTTTGGCAGTCCTTGGGCCTCTGGATGGCCATACAGAGGTATAGGTATTAACAGGTTCAAGTAGCTTATTGGGCTTCTGGGTGGCTTTCTTGGGTGCTGGTAGTTGCATTGGTGGACAAGGGGGGTGGGTTGTTGGGTCCTTGGGCAGTGTGTGTATCATGGGCAATGTCTGTAGTGGTGGTGAGAGAACTTTTGAGTTTCCAGGTGGTACATACTTGTTTTAGAAATGACTGTGATGGGCTGGGTGGGCCAGTCCCCATGCCTTCAGGGCATGTGCCGGTGGGTACCAGCTGTGATATTAGTGGCAGGCTAAGTGAGCCCATCTTCGGGCCCTGAGGAGGAGTACACAGATGTCAGCAGTGGTGGGTGGATGGGTTAGAGTGATTCCCACGCCTCTGGATGGTGTGTTTGGGAATAGCCTGTCCTCAGTCTATCCTGTGGTGCACATGGGTGCAGTTTGTGTTGGACAGATCGGGGTAACCCTTAGGTTTCCTGGCAGAGCACTTGGATGGTGGCAGCTGCATTGTGGTGAGTGGAGAGAGCCAATCTCCAGGGCACACACGAGTGCTCTGCTGTCCTTTTGCTGGTGTGGATGGGGTTGCTGTCAGTGCCCACAGCAGCAGGTAGACAACTGTTAGGCTCTCGGGGAGGACACACTTCAACCTCTAGCAATGATGGCAACAGCAGAAATAGCCAGTCCTCAGAGTGTAAGCAAGTGCACGACAGCTGTGCTGCTGAGGGGAAGAGGGTTGCTGCAGGTGGTGCACACTTGGGTCCCTGGTGGCAGCAGCAGTGTTGGCGCACTGGAAAGCCCTGCAGTTTAGTTCATGCAGTTGTGTTGTGGCCCTGCTGCTGATGGGGGCAGGGTTTTTATCAATGGCAGTAGCATTAGGCAGGCAGGCTTCAGGCTCTGGGGAACTTGCAGCACTTTAGCCTGTCTTATGTGCTACAGTGCTCTGTCCTTGGAGTACAGGATACTCTTATGTGCTAGAGTGCTGGGGACCCTGTCATTCCACTGGGTCCAGTTGATACTATGCCACTGCAGTCATCTTGGTGAAGCAGGGGAATATCAGTGCAGCTTCAGGGGTGTGGAGATGCAGGGGCTGTTGAACCCTAGAGCAAAAGGCCTAGTCTGGTTGGTGCTGGGTTTTGGATTGGTGCTCTGCTGCAGCAGCTTGGGTTTCAGGGGCTGTGTGGTACTCCGCATGAGCTCCCTCTCTAGAGCAATGCTAATGTGCTATGTCTAGGCAGCTCCTTATGCTAGTCTGAGGGTTGAGGGGCTGTCCTGTGGCTGATGTTGCAGGAGTTTGCAGTGGGAATGTGGATGCCTGGGGATCCTTCACCCTTTTCCCACACTGGGGAGCCTCTTTGGGCACCCAGCAGCTGGCTGCCAGCTTCCTTCTCCTTCCATGCTTCAGTTATTTCCTGTCACTTCTCTATTCAATTTCAGTGTTCTCTCTTAGGTGGTCTATTCAAAGTGTGATTATTTATATGCTGTTTTGGTTGTTCTTTGTGGAGGAGGCAAATGTCAGATGCCTGTAGTCAGCTGTCTTGAAGCCCCTTCTCTATTTGTATTATTTTTTGTCTTTTTTTTCCCCCCCAAATATTTTGATCTGTGGTTGATTCTGTGGATGCAGAACTCACAGTTATAGAGGGACTACTGCATATTGTTTTCTAATTATGAATATCAATATATTATCTTTTAATGTTGTTGGTGAGAAGTCTGAAGGAAATTTGATTTTGTTCTCTTTGTTGGTAACCTGATTTTTTTTTCCTATGGAAACTTGCTTTTTTTCCCCCTCTTTATCTTTGGTGTTCTGACAATCACAATATAATGCAGTTACATGTGAGACTCTTTTCAATTATTGTTTTGTTAGTTAAGGTTCCCTGAGAAACACATTCCAAGATGGAGTTAGACGTTGAAGAGATTTATCGAGGAAGAACACCTGTGAAGGATTAAGGGGAGAAAGTGCAGAATTAGGTTGAGAGGACCTTTGGATGGTGATTCAGATCTGTCATCAGTGAATGAAGAGAGGGAAGGAAGAAAGATTGGGTGTGAACAGTCTTAGACCATAATGCAGCTCTGAGAAAGTCTTAGGCAGGGCAATGGCAATTCCCAGGGTAAAAATTCCCTGTTAGAATAGCCCCTCATTAGGTAGGAATAGCTCTATTCTAATTCCCCTGCTGTGTTCTGTCCGTGGCTTGGAGAATCTCCCAGGAGGAACTTGGTTTTGATGTGAATGCTGAAGTCTAAAGAACTATACTCCTTCTTCTTATAGCAGGCTTCTTGCAGAGAAACATGATTGGTGTTTCATGGCTGCCACCTTGTGTTAAGGCACTTAAACTCTGAAGACTCATGTTCTGAATTCTGGGAATTTTTTTTTTAATCTTTGGGAAATTCCTTTTCTACTTTTCTTATATTTTTAATCTCTACTTTGTTTCTTTTTTTTTTTTTTTTTTTTAATTTTTTTTTTTTTTTTTTTTTTTTTTTTTTTTTTTTTTTTTTTTTTTTTTCTGACTTACAGATAATCTTTTTTCTGAAAATTTTTAAAATTATTTCAGTCCTTCTGTTAACTTTTATTTTCAGTAAACATATGCTTAATCTTCAAGAACATTTTTTATTATACTTGTTTCTTTAGTTCATACTTTGTTTCATAGATCTTGTTCTTTTTATAAGTATTTAATGTCTTCTTGAATCTCTATATTAAATTAGAGCTTTCTAAAAGTTCTCTTCTAAATTAACTGTTTCGTCTGGAGTTAAATTCTGTTTGCTTGTTTTGGGCCTTCTGCCCTCACCATGCCTGCTAAGCCTTAAATTATCTATGTTTCAGAAAGATGAACTAGTTAACTGGTACTGGCTTGTTATCTTTTTAAATGTAAGATGGACTATGTTCCTGTTAGATTGCTTTCTCAAGTAAGAATTCAGACTGAGAGATTTTTTTTCTTGTGGCTAGGGCTTGCAGAGGGAATCTGTGACTGACAGGCTTTGCCTTGGGATGAGCAGATAGGTACGTGGTCGGCAGGGTGAAGGCCCTTCAGATGCCAGAAAGCGATCTACTTGCGCTAGAAGTCTTTGTCTGTCCCAGCTTAATTTCTTTTTTTTTTTTGAGACGGAGTTTCCCTCTTGTTACCCAGGCTGGAGTGCAATGGCGCGATCTCGGCTCACCGCAACCTCCGCCTCCCGGGTTCAGGCAATTCTCCTGCCCCAGCCTCCTGAGTCGCTGGGATTACAGGCACGCACCACCATGCCCAGCTAATTTTTTGTATTTTTTAGTAGAGACGGGGTTTCACCATGTTGACCAGGATGGTCTTGATCTCTTGACCTCGTGATCCACCCGCCTCGGCCTCCCACAGTGCTGGGATTACAGGCTTGAGCCACCGCACCCGGCCAGTTTCTTTAGGGAAGATCTGTTCAGTGTTTTAGCTAGAGGCAAATCCAGGCTCACTGCTTTGTGCTTGGGATAGGACTAGAATGGTAGGTACCAAGAATTAGGTATTCTGCATACAGATCTTTAATCTCCCTATTTTCACACTCATCCTCAGTTATGTGTGTAGTATAGGGTTCATGTCTTCAGGTTCTATTAGGTAGACTGGCTTCCAGCCCCTGGTAACAAATTCTAGGCTGTGGCTTTCTTTAGCTATTTTATCTTACAGCCTATTCCTCTCTGCTCCTTCTTTCTTCCAAAAAAGAAGAAAAAAGCCTCTCATTTTCTCATTTGTTGGTGGCCTCCTTTATTCTTTTTACTGTTACAGGATTTATTTCAATTAGCTCTTTGTGTTTTTTTCAGTGGGGTTTCAGGAGGGGCAGGTGGTAAATGCATGTGCTTTGTCTGCCATCTTGAAGCTTACATTTTCTGTTGTTAATTGTTGATACCACCTTCTGAAGTGCTAGCAACATGAATAGGTACAAGTTCAACTGAGCATATTTTTTTCCCCCGTGTTGGCAGTTGTTTTAAAAAACAACATCTCGTTTATTACAGTTTCTTAATTTGGGGGGATGTATTGTCTTTGCAGACAGTCATTTGCAGAGGAGTCATGAATAATGATTCCAAAGCTCCTAGTTTAGCTCCTAAATCAGACAAAGAATAAATGACAATATAAGAATGAATTTTGTTTACAGCAATATTATAATACAACATTGAATTACTACAGTGAAGTGATTGTGATGAAGTTCACAGTAAAATATTATTAGCTCAAACACTAGAAAAACTAAAATCACCTGGCTGCTTGCAAACCGAGGTGATAAGTTCAAGCAGTTGTCTCCATAGTGAAAACCAAAATTGGTAAGGCTTTTCTGGCAGTCTCTGACATGAACGCTCCCTCTCTGCTCACTGCGGACCCGGGTAGCTTCACTTTGAGTCTTGGTCTTTCTTTTTATCTAAAAGGGTGGAGTGGATCCCCAGCTTTCTCAGTTCTCCTACCAGGTCCCCATTCTGGCACATCTGCAGAAGAGTGTTACAGCCCCTCACAGACTCCCCATTGAGGTTTGCTCGAGGGATGGTGGGCCAGTTGGAATAGTCTTTAATGCTGTGTCGGAGCTCGAGGTCATCCAGCCCTTTGTAGGCCTTGTAGTCACGGATGCTATGCGGTCGCAGGATATGCATCACCGTGTTGTTGAAGCCACACTGGGGCTGCTCCAGTGTCCTCTTGAAGAAGACCAGCACCTTGTCCTTCTTCACCAGTAGCCCAGCTGCTCTGCCAAGCTGCTGCTGCCCAAGTCTGCTGCCACTGCTGCACCCCCAGCAGAGCAGAGCCACCACTGCGGCTCATCGCCCAATGCTGAGCTGGAGCTCACGATGCGGGACCTGCTCATCCCTGCATGCTCTCTGGAGCCCATGATGACCCAGGTCTTTGAGCATTATTTTGAACTGATATACAGTAGACTTGAAAATTTCAAGAAAGACTACTTCTGGGTTCTATTTGGACAACTCTTCCCTTTGCCTTGATCTTATAATCTTTTAAATAGAAAACTAATACATAGTCCTTGAAGAAAAGTTGTAAAATGGTCAAAGATAGAAGAAAAATCTATAATCCAAGGCCATCACTAAAGCAGAATTGCATTTTGCATTTACATATTTCCTTCAAGCTTTTATTCAAGTATCTTTTGAATTAGTGTAATTATGTGTGTCTGTAATTTTGTATTTTTTATCTGAAACTTCATCCTCTAACAGAAATCATTTTTATGTTACGTAGTCTTTTGTAAACTTCACTTTTAAAAGTGTTTGTAAATGGTCCATTTTGTGAATATACTTTACTTGACCATTCTCTTCTTGGTGAACACTTAACCTGTTTTTATTTTTTAGAAGGATTTTTAAAGAATTATATATGATGATATAATATTAAATATCTTTATATATTCACTTTTGTTTTCTGAATTTAGGATAAGTTTAGGAATATTCCCAGAATTGGGGCCAGAATTTGGGGAAGGGGAGAGAAAGTAGTTAAGAAAAAAAGAGAAGATCATATTATTTGGAACCATGTGGGTTGCAGAAAAAGACAAAACTTTTTTAGGGCCAATTTATAGACTTAGCTGCTATAAAATTATGTTGTAAACATAATGGGTGATTTTTAGTTTGTTTTTGCAGATGTGGTTCAGGGTTCATCATGTGTCTGTTTAGACAAGCATCTAGTGTTATAATCATGACAAACTAAACCTCCTGGTTTTTCTTTTTTTTTTTTTTTTTTTTTTTTTTTTTTTTTTTTTTTTTTT